ATAGATTTCCTTTCAGGCCGCTCGCAGAAAATCAAACTCTCTGAAAGCTGTATCAGAATGGGGCGCAGTTCCTTCAGGCGTGCCTCAAGGGACCAAACTTGGTCCATGATTGTTTTTAATCATGATTAATGACCTAGCAATTAGTAATGCATCACTTTGGAAATACGTAGACGACACAACGACATCTGAAGAAATTAGGAAAGGACAGGTGAGCAACGCGCAAACTATAGCAGATGAGGTAACGGACTTGTCCAACAGAAATAGAGTCGAACTAAATGTTGACAAATGTAAGAAACTTCGCATTTCTTTTGCTTCAGTAAGTCATGATTTCCCTCCTGTCATCGGGGGAGATGCATAAAGGTTGTTACCGATGCTGAACTCTTAGGCGTAACTATTTCAAGTGACCTATCTTGGAACGCGCGTATCACAGAAGTGATAAAAAGGGCAGCTAAGAGGCTCTATTTTCTCATCCAGCTTAAAAGAGCTCGCGTTTCTCAGAAAGATCTTTGTCTTTTATACATCACATGTGTGCGCTCCGTTATCGATTATGCTGTACCTGAGTTTCATTATGCTCTGCCTGCCTAATTAATGCAAGAACTAGGGCGCGTTCAGAAAAGGGCTATGCGAATCATCTGACCTGGCGTGGAATATCCGCACGCGTTAGTTCTAACGAACCTACCGTCCGTAGCGGAGCATTACAGTGATATTTGCAAGCGTACGTTTGAAAGTATTTTCAATGACAGCGGCCATAAACTCAGGAAATTACTGCCGCTCCTACATGAGAGCAAGTACAATCTTGGGCACGCACGATCCTTCAGCATACCGCGCTGTAAAACAAATAGATTTAAGAATAGTTTTAATATGGCTTCATTCGCCCTAGTGAATACTGTTTAAATTATTGACTTTCAACAATATGATTTCAACGAGATGTTTATAGTTTTTAAATGTTTTAGATATTACTATCATTAGCTCCTAGGTATTATTCAATTTGTAAGTTTGTACACTCAATTAGAATTTTAATGAAAATACGCAATTCAGCTCTACGAGCTGCGATGTATTTCAATAAAGAATCTATCTATCTATCTATCTATCTATCTATCTATTTACACTTGGCTTTCGAAATAATTATACCCTGTTGACGACCTTACCCCACCTTCGGTGGGATCCCGCCAATTTTGTTCAAGTAATTCTTGAATCACAGCTTGAATTCGAAGATTCCTAAGGCTCGGAAGTCTTTAGTAATTCCGAAAACATAACAAGAAATACTTTTTAAATTAAATAAATCAACCTCTTGGGTTTAAAAGTTCAAATGAAAACTTCAGGTTTCCCCGGGATAGAGAAAGGCAACCGAAGTCAAATAAGACAAAACTTATTTGCATCAATTTTTTACAGAATTCAAAAGATTTTTCCTCTGTTTGCGGTGTGTTTTTTAACCGAAGGCCGGCTGCTTTACATGGTAGATTCTATAAATGGTATAATATTTTTTACTATCCATTTCTTGAAACTTTTGAGAGGACAATTGACATTTTCATACTGCCATCAAGAGATCGATCTATAATCCATTTAAAATTTTATGAAATCTTGCCTTGATTCAATATTGACATCAATAATCAAATTGGAGTCTTGATCATCCTGAACCTCGGACATTACTGCATGCATGATGAGAATTCGTTCAGTATTCTTCGATAGGCAATTATCTCTGCCAACTTTATATTTTTTCATCCTTGGTATTAAAATTTCGATGAGTTCGTGATAGAAATTTTGTACACTAAATGGTAACAACTTGAATTGTAACAATTACTTACTATACATGGCTAAACAAATTTCATTGCGAGAATCATGTGTCGCTAAGTGCCTCCTTTACGTGGGGTCATCCAATCTAAACTTGCAAATTTGGATACAATGATAACAGTTGGATAAAATTGTATTGCTTACGAAATAAGGTACAGGATATCAATAATATCTATTCCCATTTTGTCTTTTGCCTCAGCAAACATCAGAAATCAAAAAAGTAAAGTTGTAATATTTTGTGGGAGGTAAGTATGCGAAACCCTTATTACTCATTTACCCATCTGTTTAAAGCTTCGATGTGTTATGCGTTATGTTTCGTTTTTATTGTTAACGAGACTTTATAATTATAACCTTTTTTTATATTTCTTTGGACTTCTTAAATCTTGAGACTTTCATCACTCAAAGGGCTTAAACTGTTGTTAGATAGAATTTGAAGGTGAGTCACCAAACCGAGCAGAGTTGAGGCAATGTGAAGATAAATTGTATCTCATTGGACATGTTTTTCTTTTGTTTCATTTCTATTCAGCGGCAGAAACCAAGATGGAAGTCCCCAAGACTGTTTTTATTTTGGTGGCCATGATCATTTCAGCAGGTTGGTATATTCGAAAATAATAGATTCTTCTCAAAAGGGAAGCTGGATGAAAATTGCTAATTATGATACGCACAAAGGGAAAGTTATGTCAGAGCCTTTTCAAAACTGAATTTTATTTTTTAGCGATCCGGCCTAAGAAGTTTAAGAGAGCCAGGTGTTATTTCAGCCAAGAAAATAAAATTCTTAGTTGAAAAGAAAAGATGAAAGAAGTTTATAATTGGGAGTACATGCTTCTAAATAAGATTTAAACGAAGATATGAGATTTCTCGAGAAAGTATGGACTCCTAACTGACCTCAAAGATTGCAATACGCTGTTCAGAGGGTCAGCTGTTTTGATTGGAAAAATTTATCTGAACTCATTGGTAATATTAAGAAAAAAAAATTACCATGTTAACCACTAGATCTTTAATTTTTCTCTGAATTGAAAATCCAAATACATGTATCGAAAAGTTTATCTGCTCTTCGCTACCCTCACGACAAATTAACAATTATCACACTGACACAAGATGCACTTCCTTTTTATGGGTACACAGCCGCACAATTCCCGGATTGCAACGACCATCCCCTCAACGAATGGTTCACAACTGAATCTTGTGAAAAATGCAAATGTAATACAGGCGGTGGAATTGCGTGCAAACCTCTCTGCCCGTTAATGCGTTGCCCTCTAGGGCAAAAGCTGGAAACGTATGGAGTCGAGCCAATGGGAGGAGGTTGCCACTGTGAACTCAAAAGATGTGTTCCAGTCCGGAATTAGCAGCTGCAAAATGCTTCCAGTATTGATGTTATGCCTGTTAGAACAGGGAAAAAAAACCTAGTGATAGGGGACTCTTGGAAAAGATAACTGAATAAAGAGAGAAAGAATCAGGCTTGAGTATGATATCTATGTTCATCTATTAGAGTTGAAATGATATATGACCAGCCTTGGAAAGGAATATTAATGAAGGCAGGAATTAAACCTCCTCGAAATAGAATTGAAGACATTGCAACGAAAGATTTGGATGGTTTGTTGTTCACCGTCCTGGGATGCTTGGATAATCAAACACTTTTCTTCTTGTCCTAGCTCGATTCTGATTTTATCATTGGCTAAAATGCACTACGCTAATCACCTGGCGCCTTAACTACTAAATCGATGATTGATATTCCTAGCGAGTTCTGTTGGTCTATTCAAAGACTATGTTTATTTCCGAGTGAAGCGAGGTAATTTCGAACGTGAAAGAGCAAATCGATCCAACGTCCAAAATATCTACCCCCTAAAACACGACTGACAATGGCGAACCATTCAAAGAAGAAATGTTTATCTAGCCTGGTCCCACAAATATCTGGTATAATAGATGTGCCAAAGAAAAAAAAATTGAAAAAAAGACTTATCTTTTATGGCTAGCTTTGCAGGTTTCGCGATCACTTTGTCAGCGCTAATTAATCAAACTGTGTGACATAAGTTTGGTCTGCTTTGCGTTGATCGAACTTGTCATCATTCCTACAGCGAAAAGTCACAGGACCCAAAACGCATAACGTGTTGGTTTTGGTTTAATTGAATAAGTGTTAAATTCCAATTTTCCAGCCTCAATCTTGATGCAGGGGATGCAATACCTCTATTGTACAAGTTTTTCATTCAAATTCAAGACTTTGGACTCAGTGCGAGTCTCCGAAATGAGAGTTTGTACTGGACACTGCAATGTTAATTTATAATTCGCTATGCGTGTGGTCACTGGAATTTTTGAAAAGCTTGGTTTATACAATCTAAGATTTCTCCGTTACTCTATCCCCGTTGCACCACCCGCTCAGTCATCACACGGAACTGGAAAACTGAAGGTTGAAATTCAAAAAGGTGAGTTCTCTCACTGCACAAATTCAAGTCTGTAAAATGTTTTCCTTGGTTGAGGTTTTTCAATTCATATGTATTTTTAACTCGAATTAAATTGAAAGTAAAATTATCGGGGAAAAGCTGCTTTCAATGTAAAATGCGCAAAGAAAGCTTATGTCTTGTAATCCAGTCATAGGGTACTGTATATCGAGGCTTTCTTCTTCGTAAGTGAAGGAGGAGACAACAGCCCATATTACATCATTGTACTAGCATGTTTGTACTTAAAAATTAACTAATATAGAAATTAAATTTCTGGTCTGGGATTTTCAACAATTATTTTTTTATGAAAAGGATCAATTGATGTGATAGAATTCCAATTCATTATTCTTTTTCCCTTGGCTTGACTCTTTTTCGTTCAAAAACTTCTTCGTTGCTGATCCTTGTAATTGTGCGCGGGATATTTGAGAAAAATGAATCTAATAACTGGCCCAGTTCACAAAAAAGTCTTCAATAGTTCGGTTGACAGAGCGCGCAAAATCAGAAAGTCTAACCGTTTACGAAGACTTGAATATCTAACTGTTTTTTACTCCTCTAACATACGAATTTCACCTTTTTTCAGTCCCCCCTAGATGCAAAAAATTCCAAACGTGATCGATCATGACAAAAACAATTTTGTGATGTGTTTCTCAATCTTATGTTATCTCATTGTGTAGAACATTGCTAAGTGCATATCATGCAACTGAGAATCCTAACTACTCTGGCTTTGCTAATCATAGCTGCCTTTCCAGGTTTGTAAGTAAAATCTATGACTCTGAGTTTTAGAAATTTTGGTCTCAAAGTGTTTAAAGTTACTTATCTTCGTCGATTAGATCTTCAAACGCCATAGAGTCTTATAGGCCTTGTGTTTATGACAAAGTACAAAAACATCAACCGATAAAAGAAGACCTAAAGAGGTTTGCTATCTACACCCAGGCTAGAGACGTCCGAATTTTAAACCCATCTCCCTTCCCTAATACGATAATCAAGAGTTTTGATAGAAATGTGTAAGTAATCATATTTATGATGGGCCTGGATCTTATTTAGGGGAAAGCGAACTAGAATAGATTTCAGATTAAATTCAGAGTCAGGCAGAAGACAAATCATGATAAGACTCCACCTTTTAGTAAGTTTCAGCTAGCCTTTCGCAATAACGTTTTATTATATTGTTTCGCATTCCTCTCATCTCAAGATGAATGACGTTGAAATTGAATTCAGAAAGTAACTGCTGGTATCATCTTAGTAACATAATAATTATTGTAATCATCATCATTATCACTACAACTATTTTATAAGCATGGTTATTATTAATTCTATCATTATCATAATGTATGCAGTTTCTTTTCCTGGCCGTAATATTTTTTTCATGCTCTATTTTCACAGCTGGAGAGGCATGGCTCTTCAGAGGTAAGATCTTTACAATTTTAATTCAAAACTACAATTGCTTTCAGTGCTAAGTTGTTCGTAGGCAGGAGATCTAAACACCACTTTCTTTAGTCTACATCGAAGCAATAAAGCTTTAATTTTTCTTTCTTTTCTAAAAATTCATTTGATCCAAACGGGCTCAGATTTGTTAAACAATAGTACTTCCTCTTTTTTTTTCAGTTTTAAGCAAAGAAACATCTAAAATTAATTTCATTGAAAAAATGTTTAAAACGAAAGAGAGTGAAATGGGGAGTTGACAGCCTCTAGAGCGAACGCGGTCGTCGAAAACGCCGCAATTGGTTTACGCGTGTGTGATTCTGGTTTATCATCTATGCACTCCATTTATCAGCAAATTCCGAGCATTCTGTCAATTTTTAACTTTCTGTCATTCTGTAAATTCCATGGGAAAAGGGAATAGATCTAGAAGAAGACCAGCTTCCTCTGCCCCTGCTCCTCCGCCACCTGCAGCATCTTCTCCTGTGAACTCAGCACCATCTATGGCTGAAAAAACTCCAGATGAAGTCGCCGGTACGTAAGAAGTGAACAGCTTTGATTAAATTGATTCAATTCGTAGTTTGCCAGTTATTTTTTTAGCAGATTTTCTACCTCTTATGGTAAGAAATATCAATCAAAAGCTAGAAAACAACTCAAATTCAAAAGGAAAGATGACCAGTCAATACTAGGGACAAGAATTTTTCCCTATATCTATGGTTTTTGTCGATGGTATAAACTAAGCAAAGAACGACGGTTTTCAGAATAACATTATTTTTTCTTTCTTTTTTTCCAGAGAAAACAATCCTCAATCAGGTTATCCAAAAATCTCCAAATGCAATAGATGCAATAGGCAGGTGAGTCTAAAATCCTCGTGAACTGAGGCGTTTTATGGACCATTGCCAAGAAAACATGAGCTGCTCATAGTTCCATGTGACGCGAACTTAAGCGCGCGTTTGGCGGCAGTAGCGTAAAGCAACGGGCCAATCCGTGTCTTAAATATGAATGGGCTTACTAAAAGTTGGGGTTTAGTTTGGGCGGAATATCAACCGAGCTTCCACTTGATTCTGTTTTTTTTCCCCTTTAGACCTTTACTCCCCAAAAACAATTTGTATTCTCTCCCTTTTGTTCTCTATACATTTCCTATTTTGTTGACAAGGAGAATTTGATTAAAAAGTAAGAGTTTCTCTAGATGGTGATCACTTCCTTTACTCTCGTGACCTTAATGTGTGATTAGGAAGTGATATTTAAGGAAAAATTAGATGTCAGTCACTTTTAGAGGTAAAAGGGTCAGAATTGAAAGTGACACATTAGATTCAAGCTACCGGAATTTCTGTTCCCAATGTTTCATTAATTTTTCTTGGAAGAAAACAAACAAACAACAAACAAACAAATTATTTCGTTTTATCATTTGTTTGCTTTCATTGTTGTTGCAAACGTTTTTATAGTTTATTTCATTTGTGTGTGCGAGCGAAGCTTCTTGAAATCTTTTGCACCTTTCCCAGCCGATCTGCTTTATAATTTTAATCTAATGGTCCTTGCCAAACAAGGAATAAACAGTTGGCAAGCTATAAAAGTTCCATTCTTTTTCGCCCATGACTGAGGTTTTTTCTCGTCATAATCATTCTAATGACGTGTGTCTGTTGATCTGTCTGCAGGCGTTAGGCCACCTTTGCCAGGAATGAAGAAGAACAGATTAAAGAAACGTAGCAGATTTAGCTACTTGCAAGAAATAAATGATGATTTGCTGATGCAGAAAAAAAATGCTTGTTTATTGTCTTTACATGTTACATTCGAATATCCCATGCGTGAAAAGTTCGATTCCGTGCAAATTGGGTAAATTTGAAATTTTTCTCTCGGAAAACGCGTGATAAAAGCAAACCTCTCAAATGCTTCAGGGTTTTTAGAAGTTCTTACTTCTTATTTCAATACTCTAGCGCCTAGTTGTTCAAAAGGTGATAACGATATCTAACGGATAAATCGCTATCCAGCGGATAACTTTTAGCAAAACGCACAGCGCTATCTACTAAAGAAAGAGTTTTATCCGGTGGATAGTATTATCCGCCATTTATACAACCAGGGCCAGCTGTAAGGGCGGGTGTGTGTGATTCACTTCGAAGTGAAAGAAATTCTTATTTCAAGTTTTAGCTTGAAAATAGTGAGATAGACTTGCCATGTTGTAACCATTTTTTTTTCTGATACAATCGAAACGAGGATGATGAGAGTTTTGGTTTACTTTTATTCTCTTTTTTTTTTTTAATTAGCAGCTTGACTTGAGTTTTTTGAGCACCGGGCTTGCATACGTTTTTTTTTTTCAAAATACATGAATAGCAGATGAACATGAAAATCAGTATAATTTTAATAGGATTCAATGAATGGAGAAAAATATAATATGTTAAAAAATGTTTTCTCTTCCAAACTTAACAAATTACGACACTATTCTAAATGTTATAAGTTACTGAACAAACCGAGAAAATATAAATCCACGGGTAGCCAATATCACTCTTCAAAAGAATACAGCCGTGATCATTTATAAAGTTTTCAAGGTCAAGGGGAAACCAAAATATAATTTTTTTTTTAAAAATGGTGTGAAAATAAAAAGTAATTTCTTTTGGCTGAATAACTCATTTACCAAAATTTGTAAAAACTTCCAAGCTATTGCAAATTTAACTTGAGCTTTCAATAATATGAAAGGTATATTTTCAAAACCTATTCTGATTTTAAGATATCACAAATAGCCATCTTACTGTTAATTAGGACATATTCATATCTGCGCCTTTTGAAATATTTGACTTTATAATAATCTTTTTACAATTTTTGATAATATTCGATGCAGCAGAGACACTAGCCGTGAATTCAATTTATAAGATGCTCCTTTATTTGAAGACATCTGCTTGCCTCTTACGCTTTCTTAGCAAATCAGGATTGAAACCATTTTTTTTTAAATCTTATCTTAGTTCGTAACCGAAAATGTTTTTGAAGTTAAAACAAAAACACTTGTAAAAAACGAAAATAGGAAAATATATTCTTTTCATAGCTCAGCTTTTGTTTGTTTTGTTTGTTTTTTGTTTTTTGTTCTATTTCATTCTTACTCTGTCATAGGTGCGAGTCGGCCCTTTTTAAGCATTTTTTTTTTCTAAAGCAGAATTCTATCCTATTTATTTGACCGGCCTTTTAGCCGACAATATGACTTTCCATTAAGCAGTATCAAGAAAACCGTTCTTGGAATAATTCCTCATTTCCTGCTAATCTGCCACTATTTAATTTTCATAAAACACACAAGGCTTTTCCCTTAATGCAGCCAGAAAACTTAATATCCTTGATTAAACAGGAATCGCCTGAGGATACATTAGAGAGGTTGTCACATTTAAAATGAAGAAAGACCTTTCATTGAGTGGTAGTCGCAGTGTTCATTTTAGACGCTCCGCTTCGCATCTCACAAAGATAAGGTAGGAGAAGTTAACAGTATTCATAGTGAGACTTTATATGCATTATCAACGATGTTTCGTTCGGGCCGAAGTAGGTGAGTCGGCCTGGGCGTAGTTATCCAGCTTTTGAGTCAATCATCAAGTCAGAACTTTGTTAAAATAACTATGAATTAGTCTTCAAGGTCACAAGTTAGTTAAACCAGTTTCTGATAACTATTCCGCTGATATTCCAAAAGCATCGTACCCCGTAAATTTTGACTTTACAAGTGTAATAACTAACTCATTCTTAGGTACAGTAACAACGGATAGATGAAGTAATCCAGTTCTTCAGTCAAAGTAAGGGAAAGAAAAAGCTCGTTGGCCATCTTTTCAATGAAATTTTGTAGTCGAGATACGTTTTAATTTTCTAACATATTAAAAAAATGTTGAAAATAACTTAAACGTTTCGATTCATCGGTTCAACTCTTACGATGTCATTAAAATTCTCCATTCAAGTTGCTGGACATTTCCTTAAGAAAAACGTTATTCAATTCAGTGAATAAACAAGAGAATCGGCTTCAAGCTGATAAAATCGACCATTCACCTCTCTGCTTTCTGCTGAACAGTGCATAGAATTTTTGTAGGAGAAACTTAATGTTTGTCACTTTTAATAGTTGAGAGCCGAGGATTAAAAAATGTTGGTACATTACACGGAAATCAATCAACATGCCCAAAACCTATCGCGAGGAAGAGGTGCTATCGTACAAATCAAAAACCAAGAGAAAGTAAACAACTATATGTCTGAAAATCAGTTTGCTTTATGTAGCTTTCCATATGACGCTGAAAGACTCGGCACTCGGTAATACTTAACCATTACTTCCCCGAAATGATGCTAAAAAACTGTGGAAAGAAAGTTCAAGAGTTTACACTCCGGAAAAAAAACACAGGCGAATATCTTTTGCTTGTTTTTGTATTTTAAGAGAACTGTTAATCGACTATGCAGCTGTTTGAATTTAAACGCCTCTTTGAACGTATGATCTAGAAATCCTTGGAAATTATGTAAATCAATTGCCTTTAATTTGTGGTTGCGCACATTTCCGAATAACACATATCTCGTGAGTGAATAAACGCAATATTTTACCTCTTAACCGATACGGCAGGTTATCGCAATAAAACTTTCAGAACTTCTAAATCACGTTCGTACATATTCAACAAAAGACAGATGAAGTTTTGACCGTGGATCCTTTTTCTTTCTTGAAAATCATTCATTTTATAGGCACAGTTGAAAGACATGCTCTTTGAAAAAAAAATAGCGCCTCTCATACACCATAGCCAAAAATTAGCACATTCGAACAAATCTAACGAGTTGTTTTACAGGATTAGTCATCATTTTTAAGGTCGAGGAAAACATACATATACGCGGAAAGATAATTTACTTATATTGACTCGTTGTTCAAAGTTTGATGAGTGTATTGTTGCAATATATAAGCATCGGCTTTTATGCTATCGATATAGTTTACCTGAGATGCTAGGATCTTATATTATCGTCTCGTTTCACAGGTTTATCCTGTAACAATGAGGGCACTGATATTTTCGTCATGCATCATCCTGATCATCGCCAATTCCTTGGCAGGTATGTGTATTCACGAATTTTAAAGAATATACCGATTTATTTTCCTTTTAAACGATTCTAAATCTAAACTTTATTATGATCATCACAAAAAAAAATTAAAACGTGTAAAAATGAGTAAGGTTTTTAGGGTTACACCGAATGTATTATTTAAAATTTGGCCCAATCTCTTTAGTGAGCCTCTATTTGAATTGATAACAGTCAAATTTTTCAGTTACATACAAAAAAAACTATGATACAAACGTGAAAAGCTTAGTATTGCTCAGAGAGTTCATCCACTAATTAAAGTCAAGAGAGTTATAAACATAGAATACTTGAAAAAAATAACAAAAAAACAATTGGAATAAATATTTGGTAGTTGGTAGTGAAGCTTAAAGAAAAAAATATTAAAAGCATGACTCGAGACACTTTTCTTACATTTACTGTTCCAATCAAAGCTCCTACCCTAAAAGACTTATGGGACTCACCTCAGCTGGGTAAAAGAGGGATCAGTTATTTGTCTGTCATAGAATTTTGAGTCTCAAGAATAAAAAAATATACTAAAATGTTTTTAATGTCGTTAATTTTTGCGGTACGGCTGCGGAGAGGGAAGAGAAGTTTGCATCTTACGTATCACGTACCGATCTATTGGTTTGATTGTGTTCTTATGTACATAACAATACTTGACAAGTTACAAATTCATCATTCATTCAGTTTATAATTTCTTGGAATGATAGAGGCAAGCCTTAGGCTATTGCATAACAACAATCTCGAAGAGTTAAAATTTCTTTCCGCAGAGGCTGCTGTTGCATCAATACCTCAGAGGGAACTAACGCCTAATGACGTTGAAGGTTACTATGCCACGCCCTACAGGAAATGAAAAATTTCTCACTAACCACGATTCGATTTGAAACAGAATTGAAACAATTTATAGCTTTCCTACAATGTGTATGATTCATGCAATTTAGATGCATAGTGTAAATGACACACCTGTTGTTTTCTACTCATTGAGCGAATATCAAAATCATATTATTAGCAGGATTGCAATTCTTGTCATACAACTCGTAAACTGCGTTTAGCTGTCTAGAATATGACAGTCTCGTTCTGAATTTTTCCTTATGTTTTTTAGATCCAAACATGCATTTATTTGAAAAAGGACCGTTTGATGGAGGAAATGGCTTGCGTAAGAAATTACTTTTAATCATTTTTGTATTCAAATTATTGGTGTAGTCGTTGTTTTTTTTTTTCTGAAATCAAATAACTCCAATTTTTAAAATTTCTCTTCTTTTTTGCAGGTGGGCCAAGAAAAGGAAGAAGAGGTGCGTTGTGTTTGTAAAACAAATAGAGATAAATAGATTGATTGAATAAACGAAGAGCGATGGTAAACAGCGCGAGTGTAGAGGAGGAGTGAGAAAACGAGAGAGGTATGGGTCGGGTTGCAAATTGTTCTTTATGTGACCCGACCCAAACTCCCCTCGTTTTTGCCCTGCCGTAGCCATCGCGCCGTGTTACTAACTGAACATCTGAAAAAGGCTATAAACAATTCGAATCTTCTAGCCCCTGAAAAAGTTCACTGCTTTTTTCATGTATTCATTCGATGGATAGAAAATAATAAAAATTAATAATATTCTTTTGACAGATATCGACGTCATACCACAGAGTGAACTGAAGTCTCGCGACGTAACAGGTGGCTTTTAAAATACACTTTGTATAAGAAGCATGAAGGTTTTGGTACAATCATTTAAATTAAAAGTTCTGTGACCGTTTTTTGTCCAAATTTTCCAACTTCCTTACTCTGTTTACTTTGATGTCTCATAGTTTGACCAACCAAGGCAAAATAATTCCCGAACCAATCGCAAATAACTATATTGTGCTGTCATCAACAAAGTCATCTTCCTTAAAATTGAGGTGTTTGGAAATGAATGAGAAGACTGACTTGAACAAACAAAAAGCGTTCAGACCAAGTGCACAGCTATTATTTTCACGGTGAATTTGTCACGATTTGGGAAAAACGTGGTAAATAGCATTGTTCCCTTTTTCGACGTTTTTTACCTACTATCACCTGCTAAAAATGAAGCTTTGGATGTGGATCGTCAAGTTTCGACTCAGGCTGCTAACTTAGGGACCACTCATTTTTTATCGCCGAGGATCACATGTTTTATGGTTTTCAAAGGAAACAGAGGAGGGATCATTCGTCGCCAAGAGAGTGTAAGGGGG